AGACTTCTCCACAGAGAAGGGGGGGTCCAGAGATAGGTGCCTATGGGAGGGGGTGAATCTCATCCTTTTTTTTTTTTTTTTAAACACAATGCCTTTATTTTTATGTGGTGCTGAGGATGGAACCTGGATCCCGCCTGTGCTAGGCGAGCACTCTACCGCTGAGCCACAATCCCAGCCTGAATATCGTCCTTTTTACGGTTTTCAGGTTTTATATTCCTCCGGTCCCTTCCCTTAATCCCTTGGGAAAGGGGCAATTCAGGGGAAGCGGCCCAGTGAATGCTTATGAATAATTCCCTGCTGGGAGGGACAATCTCCCTGGAGGCAGGTGACTATTTGGTTAAGGGTTTGGGGAGGGGGAAGTGTTCTGAAGGTATTAACATTCCAATATCCCAGGAGCAGGTGTCTTTGGCCCTGAGCAAGCGGGGTGGGGGTGGGGGAGGATGTGTCCTGAAGGTATTAACATTCCATTCCTCTTTGAATCAGCTTCCAACTTCCCTACTACTGGATTTATCTATCTACACTAACTGCCGAATGAACCTTTGTTCTTGCTTCATCATGAACTTGAACTTTTTAAAAAAATTCATGTTTTCTGAGCTGGGGTGGAGAAAGCTCAGTGGTAGAGCACTTGCCCTGTATTCAACAGACTCTGGTTTTCAGCACCAGCCCTGAAAACAAAGAGAACAAAACAAAACAAATCATATTTTCTTTGATCTTGCCAGGATACAAGATCCATGTATCTAGATTAGCAATTTAATTTTTAATTTTTTTTTTTTTTTGTGTGTGTGTATGGTGTTGGAAATGGAACCTGGGGCCTCTGAATGCTAGGCAAGCAATCTACGGCTGAGCTACACCCCAAGCCTGGTATTTCAATTTTTAAAAGGCTTATATTGTGCAAAAGTCTTTCACATTCTTTATCTTATTGCAGGCAGAGACATTATTATCTCTGTTTTCCTGCTAAGATCCCCCACCTGCATCCTGGGATCACTTAGCTAATTGGTTGGGAAGCCAAGTGAGCACCAAATCCTGCACCCTCACTGATGTTTGAGAGGTTGGTTAGTTCCCCATAGGAACGCAGGACTCTCAGGGTCCTGGAACAGAAATGAGCCTCCAGAGAATATCTGGTTTTCTCCCTGGTTTTAGACCCGATCAAATTATCCTAAACATTCAATACCTCTTATTTTCTTAAACTTCTCTAGGGAATGAAATCCATAACTCTCAGCTTGGTAACAAATAGCCACTCTCTGATTAGAAAGCCATTCTTTAGGTCTATCTTGGGTCTTTTTGTTTCAAAAAGGAGGAGGAGAAGAGCCAGAAGAAAGAGGAAAGAAAGAAGATTGGCAGAGAAAGTGTTTTTCACTACTTTGTTGGAGGAAAAAAAGTATTAAAGGGCTTAAAAAAAAAAAAAAAAAGAACAAGGAACTTGTCATTGGTTACTAGGTCAATTCACAACAGTCCACAGCAGAACTGACATAACCTCATGTAAGAATGGGATCATATGCATCTTCCAAAGTTCTTTCTCATCTTCTGTGGCAGCTAGGCTTCACACAAACCGAGGGGGCGGGCTGAGCTGGCTTCAGTGCCAGGAGCTAATGAGCAAATGGAAGCCTGGGAATTTCCACCAATGCTCCCAGGCAAATCCACAGCTGAGCCAGGGCTAGAATTCCAGTCTCCTAACCTGGGATTATAAAGTTAAATCTCTGTACCCATCAAAAACTCATGTTGACTTTAAGAGAGTAACAAGCTTTTTATTCTGGTGTGTTCTTAACTCAGTGCCCAAGCTGAGTTTCCAAGTTCAGGATTGCTAGAGGTAGCATGATCCCTGGGGACTTCCTTAAGAGAACACAAAGTCCCAGTTGGTTTCTGCCAGCTGGTCCTGGGGCAGAGTCCACAGAGCATCTGCAACTGTACAGTGGCTGGCTTTGCCCTGTTCAGGCCTGCTAGGGAACCAGCAACACTCAAGGCTTCCATTGAGATATTGTCCTTCAAGTCTGTCCAGATCCAGGAGCTGTGCGATTTTCTAGAATTTGATCGAGATGCTGCTTTTTGTTACAGGGTCTATATGCATCTCTCCAGAAGAGCTGGAGGAGCAGATCAAAGAAGCAGGCCAAGTTTAGGACTTGGGGAGGCAAACCCCCAAATCCTCCTCCTCATCTGATCATTTAATGCAGGCCCTGCTGACCTGGGTGAAGGAAGCTACTTCTATACATTTTGTCACGTAGGAGGATTTGGAAACACTCTTTCCTGATTTGGGTCTGTCAGAATATGCTAATCGGGAACAGTTTACCATTTCCTTTCCTAGGTCCAACCATGAGTGTATTGACCTTATTGACTTACTCTGGATCTCCATCCTCCGACCTCTAACAGCCTGAGGCCCTGGCCGCACTTTCTCTGTTAACCCAACTCTCTCCGCAAACAGCGCCCCTACATCTCAGGAGGCTTGGTGAATTAGGGTATAGTAACCTGCCAGCAATCTTCAAACCTAGATTCTGATCATAAACACTCAAGGCATTTTTTTTTCTTTTGTGCTGGGGAAGCAAGATAAGCAGTCTACCAATTAAGCTATATCCCCAGCACCACTCAAGGCATTTTTACTTATCTGTTTATTTTTTTGCATGGTGTGAGGATCTAACCCAGGGCCTCCTACATGCCAGGCAAGCTCCCAGACCCTTTCCTAGATGCCCTGAGTCAGAATTTCTATGACTGAGCCCCATAAGTCTGAATTCTTATTTTTTTAAAATAATTTTCAACTTTTAGGGGGCTGGGGATATAGGGATATAGTTCAATTGGTAGAGTGCTTGCCTTGCATGCACAAGGCCTTGGTTCAATCCCCAGCACCACACACACACACACACACACACACACACAACTTTTTATATATCTACCTATATATTTTAGTTGTTGATAGAACTTTATTTTTATTTATTTATATGTGGTGCTGAAAATCAAACCCAGTGACTCGCACATGCTAAGGTAAGCACTCCACCACTAAACTACAACCCCAACCCCAAGTCTGAATTCTTAAATCTCCATTGTGATTTGTTTGTCATTGGTTTGGTTTGGTGGTACTGGAGATCCACCTCAGACCCTTGCACCTGCTGAGCAAGCAATCTGTTGCTGAGTTATACTCTCAGCCCCCCCCCACCCCCGCCCTGTGATTTTAATTCAGCCAGATCAAGGGCAAACTAGGGCTCAGGGCTGGTCTTAGGGCCCATGAATTCCTCAATCCACTCTGCTCAGTTTATTTCAAGCTTCCTCTCCCATAACATGTGAGCAACTCGCTTTGACCTAGGCTCATTTCTCTCATTTGAAGAACTGGGATAAGGAGTCCAGGACACCTTCTTTCCACCTCTCTCCTTTGACACCTTTATCCCTTCCTGACCCCTGCACTGAGCACCATTTGACAACTCTTGAGTTAGGCAGACACTGAACTATTTTTCCTACTCTTGTGCTCCAGTGGCCATATCTGGGAAGAGAAGCAAGATAAGCCTTGCTTGCTCATTGGGAAGCACAAATAATTGCCTCTACTTCTTACCTCCTGTCACCTCCTGTCCCCTTCTGGCCCTCATTGCACCCAACATGAGACATCTGTGCCTGCCTGGACACTGACCCACCAGCACGCAATGTGCCACGGCCATACTGAGTTTGGGGACAGGGCTTTCAGTGGCTGAAAATATGTGTATGATGGTATTTTAGTTGGTCCCCTTTTCTTGTGATAAAAATTATGTATTTATCATGATAGAGACTTAAGTCCCAGCATGGAGACTAAGAGGCCAGAAGAGCAAAGTAGAAAAGGGAGTTCAGAAGTTCAGTTTGTGGCTCTATCAGCTTAATAGCAGACACATTGGAGCACTGAGCACTTCTGCTTTTTTGTCTTGCTTTGTTTTGGGGCTGCAGATGGAGCCCAGGGCCCCATGCAAGCTAGGCCAGCAGTCTACCACTTAGCCACACCCCAACAGGCACTTCTTTTTTTCTTTCCCCCCACATTTTTTGCACTTCCAAATTTGGGGTCTAAACCTCAGACTTAGAACACCCTAGAAAGGCAATGGAAAGATGGCTTCCCTCTATGTAACTCTGGGGGAAGCTGCCAGAGAACACCCTTGGCTCTCTTGTAAAATGATCCCACTGTGAGGCAGATTTAGATTTCATGCCTAAAGGGAGTTAACTATTTACTGTTTTATGAGTTATCTATTGTCTTAGACATGTAACCTTCCAAACTCAGTCTCCCACCAGTTTCTCTTTGCTTCAAAATGTATCTCAATATATTACCTTAGTATTTTTTTTTAATTTTTTTTATTGCTTATGTCATTAGCCTTCTATGTTTTGTTGTTGACTTTCAGTTGGTAGTCCACAAGTTGCTTCAGCCAGATGCTTTATCAAGTTAAATTCCTCTATCATTGTTCCCATTCAAAATTCCTGGTGGTGCCAGGTGAGGTGGTTCATGTGGATACCTGTAATCCCAGCTACTTGGGAGTCAAGAGAATCACAAGTTTGAGGATGACCTGGGCAACTTAGAGAGACCCTCTCAAGACAAAAATATAAAGGGCTGGGGATATAGCTCAGTGGAAGAACACTTGCCTAGCATCCACAAGGCCCTGGTTTCAATCTCTAATACTACAGAAGGGAAAAAATTCCTGGTGGCAAGATAGGGCTGATTATTGATCATATCGTGAGACTTAGCTGTAAATGAATATCTCTTACTTCAGATAACTACATTCTTTCTCTCTCTCTCTCTTTTTTTTTTTTTGGAATCAGGGATTAAACCCAGGGATGCTTAACCACTGACCCACATCCCCACATCCCCACATCCCTACATCCCCACATCCCCAATCCTTTTATTTTGAGGCAGGGTCTTGTGAAGTTGCTTAGGGTCTAGCTAAGTTGCTGAGGCAGGCTTTGAATTTGTGATCCTCTTGCTTCCCAAGTCACTGTATTACAGGCATGTGCCACCATGCCTGGCTACAATTTTTTTTTGTGTGTGTATGTGTGTGTGTGGTGAGGAGGTGGGGAGTACCAACATAACACCCCACTACCACAAATTATGTAGTCAGGTTTCCCACTTTTGAGGAAATTACAGGAGTCAGCACATCCAGAGTACAATGGATAGGTCTCACCCTGGAAATACCACCTTCATGATCATGAGATCTCCTCTGCCAGGTAAGTATTACCATGTTCTCTAATTACCCAGAAATCCACTGAAGAGCCAGTATCAAGTACTGTGTGAGGCATAGGACATTACTTAATCTCTCTGAGTCTCAGTTTCCCCATCTGAAATAAGTGGATAATAATGCCTAGGTATTGAGAGAATTACATATATATGTATGTAAAGCAGTTAGTATACAGTAAGTACTAGATAAATGGTAGCTATAATTTATGCACTTTTTTAATGATAACCTTCAAGTAAAAATATCCAGCTGCTTGGAAGTGAGAGAGGAGCATAAACATAGCCATGACTAAGCATTTGCTTAATACACAGATGTTTCTCAGGGCTGTGCTCCATTGTGATCTTGGTGTTAGCCAAACAGGATGAAGTGATCCCTTCTGACTGCATTACTCTCCACACTCAATCTTTAAAAAATAAGTAAAAATAATGTTAACCTAATTCTTATCCAGTCCATCCAAGTGAAAAATCTAGAACTCAACTTAACTGAGATCCCCACTTTGTTTTCTGCCATCAATTCACAAGGACCCACTGACCAATTTTTGCACTAGGGTGTGCGACCCAGACTTCTGGCTGGAATGATGAGACAGTGACCCCATGTGGCTGAATAAAGAACTGCAGACTAGACTAGTCCCCCACAAGTGGAAAGTCCCACACGTTTGGACCCAGGCTGGGTGGGTCCAGAGAATGTTCTTGTTCATAGTCTTTGTCACATAAGCAGTTAGTTTGATTCCTTAGGCATAGTGGTGCACGCCTATAATTCCAGTGACTGGGGAGGCTCAAGCAGGAGGATTTTGAGTTCAAAGTCAGCCTCAGCAATTAATGAGACCCTAAGCAACTCAGTGAGACCCTGTCTCAAAAATTAAAAAAAAAAAAAATGGCTCCATGGCTCAATGGTTAAGCACCCCTGGGTTCAATCTCCCATACAAACACACACAACAACAACAACAAAACCCCATTTTTCAAGTTAGAAAATAAAATGAGGAAAGAAATAACAGCAAACAAATATGAGTGAAATTATTTCCTACTTTACAAATGTATCTTTCTTGTCCACCAGCTAAGATTCAAGGGCTAGATGGACTGTACTCTCAAATAAAAAAGAACAAAAAAAAAGCTAGCTAGAGGGCATAAGCGAGTTTTCAAATGCTTGCTCTGTTTCTCCTCAAGAGCTGTGGAATATTCACAGAAAAATCTTTGCAATGCTTACCCATCTCAGATATTTTTTTCTCTGTTCCCCACCCCCGTCCACATTGGGGATTGAACCCAGGGGAACTTAACCACTAAGCCGCATCCCCAGCCCTTTTTATTTTTTGTTTTGATTCAGGGTCTTGCTAAGTTGCTTAGGGACTTGCTAAATTGCTGAGGCTGGCTTTGAACTTGTGATCCTCCTGCCTGAGCCCCCTGAGTCACTGGGATTACGGGTGTGAGCAACCATGCCTAGCAGATATTTCTTTTTGGTGGACTAGATCTTGAAATAGTAAGAAAAGTACGAGAAACCAGTTGATACTGTAGAGTTGTGCTGTCAAAGGGAAAATGTTTTAAATCATTAATTAGAATGGTCCTTTGAATAGGGCACAGTATTCACCTATCTACAGAATTAATCCCATTCACAAAGTTTCCTAGGGAACAGGGCCTTCACACTAGTGGACTTGGATTTTCAAACCTTACTTTTTTAGTACCAAGGATATTGAACCCAGGGGTGCTTAACCACTGGGCCACATCCTTAGCCCTTTCTATTTTTCATTTTGAGACAGGATCTCGCTAAATTGCTTAGGGCCTGGCTAAGGTGCTGAGGCTGGCTTTGAACTTTCAATCCTCCTGCCTGGGTCTCCTGAGCCTCTGGAATTACATGCCTGCACCATCATGCCCAGCTTTCCAATTCTTTTTAAAAAAGTCCCAGGACTTCTCCTATAATTATGCACTTTCACAAACAAAGGACCCCTCAATAAACATTATGAGAAATTCCATAGTAAATACTTAGGAGTTAGGAATTGAAGCCAGGGGCGTTTAACCACTGAGCAACGTACCCAGCCCATTTTGTATTTTATTTTGAGATTGGATGTCACTAAATTGCTTAGGGCCCTGCTGAATTGCTGAGGCTGGCCTTGAACTTTCGATCCTCCTGTCTCAGCCTCCTTAGTTGCTGGGATAACAGGCTTACATTACCCACTGCTGGCCCTCCCTGACAAAGTCTTAAATTCCTCTGCTCCTTTGATTTAAACTGCTAAAAAAGTTATGGGATGGTGGAAAGATCTCTGGGCCAGCAACCTCTCCCTGGAAATTTGGAATATGAATCAGGAGAGATTCAGAGTCACATGCTATAACTGGGAATATAGTCTGTTAACTCAGAGGCTGTTGGTTGCCATGTTTCCCACCATGGGGGACAGAGGAAGCTGATCCACAGAGAAAGTAAGATGGAGATGGAGATGAAGAAAGACTTGACCTCAGAGAAGAGAGAAGAGGAAGGGAGGAAAATCTAGAGGTGTCCAGTTCAGCCCCTGAAGACTCCAGAGTCTATGAGGCTCTCAGGAACCCTTAGACCACCTCCTCCTGATCTGGTTCAAATTGATTTATTACTCGTAACTTTGAGAGAACAAACTACACAGTTGCCTGGATAGTTATTCTCATTGTACTTCAATTTCCTCATCTATTCAGTGAGAATATTCTTTTATTCATTCAGCAAGTATTTTTGGGGTGCTTTCTATGTACTAGACACTATTTTAGGTTCTAGGAGAGGATACAGGGAACATAAGGAATTTAAAAAATTCCTTTTAAAAAGATCCTGTAAATAAAGTAAATATATGGAAGACATAACTTTCCAATCAGGTACCAACCAAAGAGCTGGTGGACACAACTAACAACCTAAGTGCCAAAATTTAGAACATGTACTATAAGGCCAGGGCCACTTAGAACAATATGTATTCTTTTTGACTTTAAACTAATATTAAAAGAGACTGGGGATGTGACTCCATGGTAGATTGCTTGCCTGGCCATGTAAAACCCTGGGTTTGATCCCCAGTGCTAGAGAAAAAAAAAAAAAAAAAGTCTGGTGAAAAGGGTCCATCCTTTCTTTTTTGGTACTGGCTATTTAACCCTGTGGTGCTCTACCACTAAGCTACATCCCCAGTCAACTTTTTTTTTTTTTTGGTACCAGGGATTGAACTCAGGGCACTTGACCACTGAGCCACATCCCCAGCCCTATTTTGTATTTTATTTGGAGACAGGGTCTCACTGAATTGCTTAGCACTTCATTTTTGCTGAGACTGGTTTTGAACTCTTGATTCTCCTGTCTCAGCTTCCCAAGCTGCTGGGATTACAGTTATGCGCCACCGCCCCTGGCTCCCAGCCATTTTTATTTTTTATTTTGAGACCGGGTCTTACTAAGTTGCTGAAGCTGGCCTCAAAATTGTGATCCTCCTGGCTCAGCCTCCCAAGTATCTAGCATTACAGGCGCTTCCTTTCTTAGTGTCTTTTCTTTGATATCTTTTCTTGTTCCTTCTGCTGAAAGTCCCTGCAGACACTGCTGACAGCCACCTTTCCTTCCATAACTAAGCAAATCCATTTTCCCCCAGGGATATGAGTTCTGTAGTTTCCTGCTTGCTTTGACTGTGAGCAGATATCAATCTATTTTCAATTATCTGGGAAGTAGTAGATAATACACATAGGTGACACATGAAATTTGGAGATTTTTTTTTAACCACCCCTCCTCCTATGGGGTTATTTATCAAAACTAATTGGGAAGCCTCAGTGAGCTGATTTGGCTCTATCCTCCCATGCTGCCTCTGGTGAAGTCGCTAATGAACTCAGTGAAGAGCAAAAGGCAAGCAGCAGGAGGCAGTCTACCTGATAAACGCTCAACTCTCCAACAATCTAGAAAGTGCACTGGTAGGACCAACCTTCTTACTTTAGGGGAATAGGGCAAACTACCCATACTCTCTAGGTCAAATCAAGAATCAGAGCATCCTTTACTATTCCTTTTAGGATATCCACGGTGCAGAAATTCTTGTATAATAAAGAACTAACAACACTTTGCAACAATGGCTCATGTGTCCTCCTCAGCTCCCCAACGTTCCTTCTATAGAAATGAAGCTTTTCGGGGGCTAGGGTTGTAGCTCAGCGGTAGAGCGCTTGCCTAGCACGTGCGAGGCCCTGGGTTTGATCTTCAGCACCACATAAAAATAAATAAATAAAATAAAGGCATTGTGTCCAACTGCACCTAAAAAATAAATATTAAAAAAAAATGAAGCTTTTCATCATCAGGTAATCAGAGGACAGAGGTTGCCAATCAAGACAATCATACTCATCAGCTTCTCAGCCAGAAGTGATGAGTTCTTTTTAATTTTTTTTACATAGTCCAGGCCTCTAGTGCCTCTCCACCCCCCACCAAGATTAATTAAAAAAAAAAAATCATTCCTGTGCATATGGGTGTGCATGAGTATACAAGCACATCTTTGCATGCACAAACACACACATGCACATACATACACTCTAAGATTCTCCAAAACACACATAGTATCAGCAGTGTCTGGCAATGTATTGGAGCCTGTTTTAAGATGGAAACATCTATTTGTTTCCAGCCTCTTGAGATGGTGTGGCTTTCTGCCCAAGGAAACAGGCTTCTTTCCTGATAAGCTACTGCAGCTGTAAGCTGTCTATCTCAAGGAGCAATCTCAAGCACAGGATGTCTCGCCAGCTCCTAAAACTCCAGGAGATGACAGAGTTAAATAAGATGCTGATGATTAAAGAGAGGAAGCAGCCAGAATTTCAAAGGCAATAACCAATTTGGGGTTCAATGCAAGTAGCAACTTTTGTTTCTCACCTCAAAGAAGGGAGGGTGGAAGAAAACTAAATGAGCTCTCCAAAGTAGGCCTTGGAATCCAAGTTCTTGCAAGGCTTTGCTCAGGATGGTTTTGTAAATGGAGGCTTATCCTAACCTTAACCTTGGCTGAGTCTACTTTCCTCCCTGCTCATCTACTTCCTGTCCATCCTGTCTTTTTATATAGA